TAGGTTTTCAATTTTGACATGTTTTTTGACGAAACCTTTACAACCATTGAAAGAGGTATCTTACCTTTAGCACTTTTAGGTGTAAAGTCATATGTCATTAATAAATTGCACTGGACGCGCACTGAGAAGCAGACAGTACTGTATGCAGTGCCACTATTGTTGCTTACTCTAAAAATTTACTTAATTCACTAGTTATACTCTTATAAAGGCATCCAACTCGAATAGGCTTGATAAGATCGTTAAAATTGACAAAACTGCTTTATCTTGAAGAAAATACAATGAAGAAAAAAAGTGCATACCTGCTCAGTGCTTTCTTGAAGGAACTTGGTGAGAATTAAAAAATGTTTTATTGCTCCAGTTGACCACCTTAATGCTGATACTTTGATTCTTTTTATCCGTCAGTTCTTCCTGTAACTACTATAATTTCAGACAAGTGAGTTGCTTATAACACCATGGAAATGTTGCCTGAAGAATACTCATTTTACTGGCAACCACAAATTGAACTTTAATTTTCCCGTACGTAGCGCCCCCACAAACACCAAAAAGTCTCTTTGGTAAAAGTTTAAACACGATTAAAAAGAGCGATTGGGAACTCAGCTAAATTTTTTAGACAGTTTTGTGAGGAAAAAGATGTTCAAGACAATTGCGCTTTATCATCTCTAGACTCAATTAGTTGAAATGCACAATGCATGACTAATTTAACTTCCTCCGGATCGCCAATAGCTTCTTAGAAGTGCCTGGTATCTCACTGCAATGCATAAATTTTTGAAAAGTTCTCCACAAGGAAAAGTCTTTACATTCATTAAGAGATGGTACACTGCGGCGGCTAATTCTTTTTATTCCTCTGCTTGCACTTTCTTGTTCAATAGCAACAGGCGTACAACTTAACCAAAAATGTACCTGAGGATTCTTCACTACTTGGTTTAAAAACCTTCTGTATTAACGGCAGATGTACCTTATCATTCTCCAGCGTCTCATACACCTCAACATTCCTTCTGGAGCTATGTGCACAAAGCGATCTCAGAACACAGCCGAACCTTCGCAAGAACTATCTCAGAAAGACGGAACATCCCAGCAGACTCTAACCCCTGTGTGAAGGAAAAAAATGGAGCTGCCAAACTCAAGTAGCCGCGAAAACAGCTTGAAATAAACTTCATCTTCATCCTTCGTCTCTAAAATATCCCCCTTCTGCCCAACTGTGATTCGCGCACAGGCGAAGGAACTAGCAGCAGTTTTTACTTCCGCAGCAACTTTTTATCAATCTTTGAAAAATTTTTTAAAGTTTGAGAGGACGACTCAGATAACATCAAAATTGAGCTACAAAAGCCACTGCAAGTCATATCTTTAGTCACTGAAAAATCCCACTTAATTTTAGATTGAAAACCAGCAAAAAATTCTTTAAAAGTTGGAGTTTACCAGCACTCTTGTCATCAAAGACTGCAGTGCGCGATCCATTTATGCCAAAGCTTCATCTTGGTTGTTGAGTCAACTTGTACAGAAAAAATGAAATCTCAATGGCTTACAAAGTGAACACGCGCCGTATGTGCGCTGATAACACAAGGAACAACGAGTTGGCCGACAAAGCAACCAGCTTGTAACAGGTGTCCACAGTGTGCGCAGGCTGTACCCGTACCTCAAAAATAAATTCCCGCGTGACTGCTGTTATCCAAAAAGCTAAATCAAAAATTCTAGACAAACAAAAGAAATTCAAGCGTTTTTACCTCTATAACAATTTTATATCCAGATATTTTCTCATCATTTTGTAACTGTACACAAAATGAAATTTTAAAAGGTGGAACTGGCTAATTCCCTGCACAAGTTAACCGCAGAAAACATTAAATTTCTGCCCACACAGTTTGCATGGAAATGAATAATAAGCTTACATACTTGAAACGCTGGAATTAAAAAATCGGAAATTCGTTTACTGTGTCAAATTACATTGAAACGAAAGCTCATCATAGACTTTTAAATTTGACAGGTCGGAATTTAAAATTAAGCACTTAAAGCCAGGAAATCGGCATAGGTACTGCTGAAACTCATAAAATCGGTCAGAGATGAGTTGAAAACCTAACTTGTGTTAAAAAAGAAGATAGGCTCTAAAGAAAAAATTTGTTTGAGAGTACCCATCATAAACTATAATATTACCAAATCCCTCCCTCTAGTCATTTTATTTTTTGAATAGAAGCAAACATTATAAGAAAAATAAGTCTTCTCCATCATGTCATTACAGTCTTCTCCATCATGTCATTACACGATTTTGAACGTTTAGCTTTTGTAGCAGAAATTAAACCTGAATTTTTTTCAATTGTGATGTTTCATTGTCTTCACAAATTAATTTGGCGCTTACAATTACAGCAAAGAATTTAAAATTGTGAAGAACTTTAGTCTATTCTTCTTTTTTCAAATTTTCCTCTTATCCTTTATCAGTAGTTATTAGCAAAAACATTCGTATACCTTTCTGATAACGCACAGCGTATCATGGCCCTAGTCCACTTAGACAAATCTGTACGAAATAGCTGTCGCTGGTCTTTGAATAAGAGCTGCCCTTTGTCAAGATGACTGAACATATCTTTCTAGGCTTTTATGGTTGTCTATCCTTCTTCTTTTTTTTGATTTATTAGTGAGCACATTATGACTGTTAATAAATTAACTGAAACCGTAGCTCGTTTGTGTGACTGCTTAGTCAGTTAAGTTCCAAATTTATGTATAAAAACATTTTATTAAGAACGCACAGAAAGGTTAAAGTGAGAAAAATCAAAAGTTAGCCGGCGTTTCAAGATGATCACCAAAAAAAAACAACACGGCTCAACGAAAATCTTGTAAAAATGGTAAACATGCAAGACTGCTTCCAGTCTGAGGCATATATGTTGAAGAAATAGCAGAAGAAAACAATATTTTACAGTTAATAGACCATCAAACCTTCTGCTAAAAGGTAAAAAATCTGTGAAATAAAAATACCCTTTATTGCTAAAACACATCTAACTACGTTTCATACAAAACCTTCCAAATTGAAGAATGAATAACCACCACTCTCCACCCCTTCTTAAAGTTACCAGCAATACCCCTCTCTTCTTCGCATTTATTGTGCACATATGTTGCACAGGTTGCTTTAAAAATATTAGTACCATATTGGAATCTAAAATTACCTTTTTTAAAAATTTAACTTTCATTCTTTGCATTTCCTTTACTGGTATAACTTCTAATAAAATTTTGCAATAAATATTCTTAACCAGTTTTATTTACTGGTAGTCATTATATCTTTAAGATAAACTGCATGCAAATGTAAACAGAAATTTTGTATACAGCTGCAGTCTACGTAACCGGTTATGGTCGCCAGTGACTAAAATCTGTTTGAGACGTTTTTTAGGATCTATAAAACCATCCTTGCCCTGAAGTGCAGATATAATTCAGTCAATATACGAATAAAAAGAAATAAAAACCGCTAAGAAAAAATGGAACTTTTTAATCACTGAAAATTCAAAAACTACTCTCAATTTATTCGTTAATACTCTTCTAACAAAGTAATATCAATTTAAAAGTGGTATTATACTAACATTGGTTTATTCCTGAAAACCGTGTTTGGCTTCCACTGCCAAGCGATTGACTCCCTAACGTATACTGCTGTTGTTGTTGGTTTTCGTCACCAAGATGCTGGCCTTGACATATTCCCAGGTACTGCTGTTGCTGATTTCCACTACCTGGATACTGGCTTTGAATACCTCTGGAATATTGTTGTTGTTGTTGTTGCTGTTGTTGTTGTTGTTGTTGACCTCCACCACCAGAATACTGCTGACCTTGACTAATTTTCGAAAACTGCCATTGAAAACCGTTGCCGGAAAACTGCATCTGTCTCATTTTTTGAAATCGTTTGCGACTTCCTCTGTAAAACAACTAAAAAATTTTCTTCGAGTTTGACTGCCAGTATTCTGAACTTAACGTTTGTCGCCTTCAAATTCTACAGCAAAACTAAACGTAATTTTGAACAAACTTTCGAAAAATTTAATGCTTTTTGCTTCAAATTAAAACTGAAAAATTGTGGATTTTTTGAGATGTACATAAAGCGTCGATTTTTAGGCTCCGGAAGTTCAGTCAAATTGTTGATGAATTACTGGGATGATAAAAGCATCATAAAAATTCAAAGAATTTATTAAAGTAGCTTGACTGTTAACATCTTGATCTGCGTCCTACCCGCTTAGTGCAATCATTAAGAAATGCCAAAAAATAATTTTCTTTAAAAAAGAAAATCTCTTACAAAATCGAATATTTTATTTCAATCCTTAAAAAAGAAACGACTTCTTTCTACTGAAGTGAAACTTTATTTTTTTATAGTTCAGACTTCTGCAAAAATGAAAGAGTTTTCATAGAAAATTGGAGATTAACTGCTACTGCCTGACTTCTAGAGTGGTTGGCTACAAAGAATTATGTATAAAAAGTGATGAAAAAAAGATAAGCCTCGATTTACCCAATTCTATCAAGAAAACGTTCTTTTGTGGCCGTTTTCTTAGGTGAAGGTGGTGAACAGATCAAAATAATCAAAAAAAAGTTTTATTTAGGAAACTCCATATTCATAAAATGATATTTTGTCTGAGATATTATTAAAAAAACTGACATTTCAAATTAACTTAGTTAGGCAAATAAACCGATTTGTCACTCCTCGAAAGAATCGCTTTAAAAACGTTTGTACTTCCTTACAGCCAATTTAATAAATATACTCGCTTAATCTTTCTACTCCATGTTTACTTATGTTCCTTTTCTTGCAAATAATAAGCAGTGTTTTAAAGAAGTGCACTCAGCAGAATATAAAAATGATTAAAAGAATACACAGTTGATGGGAAACCTTGAATTCAGTGCATTAAAAAACTATAATATTAATGGTGGTATAAAACTTTAAGAAGCAGACAGCGTGAAAACATAACTGTCACACCGCCGCCCGGCAAGATGAGACAAATAAGTCTAACCATATCGTGTGCAAAAAAAATGGGTCTTCACTTCTTCAGATCTATTTTAGATCTTTCCAGCTTTTTTCTCATTATGACCTCATATGAAGCAAACTTTTTCAGAGGTCCTGCAACTTAACTTACTTAGGTTGGAAGACTGCATCCCGTAGTCTTCGACGTGTCACCTACCTAACAGCTCAATTAACAATTACCCTTCCTACACAACTCAATGTTACAGTAACCTACCTAACTGAAACGACGCAACTAAAAAGCACCAACCCAATCGAAATGATGGTAATAACAATGCCACTCCCTCACCAAAAAAAATAAAATGACTGACAGTTCAGTTACTTCAAACCAATTATTTCTCCAGCTTACTTGTCATGTTTTCCTCAAAATATATCGAATACCAAAGAACCGCAAATGTAAAAGTGAAGAAATTACCTCACCGGCTCCTCTCAGCAGAAAGTGGCACTATCCCGAAGTTGCAGAAAAGCGTATTCCGACAGAACAACGTCAAAAGATGTAACCTAACATACTCTACGCAGCATTGCACATCACATGTACAAAGCATAACATCAAATTTTCAAGTCTTTTTCAAATACCTACATTCCTTTTGGTAACAATGCAAAATTCCCACTTTGAAACAGAATAAAAAATACCAAATTTTCAGCTTCTCACAGCAAATGTCTCATTCAGAACTCTGTTCTCTACAAAGTACAGTAGACTCTTAGATAAACCACTGACGAATACAGGAGTTAAGGAAGTGTTGCTGAAGTGGATATGTAACGTATTAATTTAGTAAGGGTAAAGCAAATTACAATCTTTAAAAGCCACGTGTTGCAGAAAAATGCGCTCTTCCTTAACTTTAAACTGATGAGACAGTCTCACTGATTTCGCGCTTAAGAACACAAACCCTATCTTTCAGAAAAATTGATACAAGACGTAAGAAGTAGATTGAATAAAGTGATCAACTTGATAAGAAATGGTTCCATAATTTTTTATCAATCCCCAGCAGATCACTCTACGGGACTTTGGTTTGTACAAAACTAGTTTTCTAAACCCGATCGCTAGCACAGAGAACTTTCCACATTGACTCGTCCTTTAAGGTAAAGAGTTATCATTTTCAACTCCCACTCACTCACCGTGAATTTTAAATAAGTTTTGTTGGCACAAGAAAATCTCCTTTATTGGATCTAAAGTAATACACATCGAACGTCAAAGATCACTAGTCGAATTCCCAAACGGAGATAAATGAACGGGGAGAGTGAAAATCTAACAAGGTCTGAATAATAATATGCTTTAAATATAACAACAAAACACACCATACAAAAAATTGAAGAGTAACTGGGCAAAAAAATTAAGCAGGAAAGAAAACACTTTACTACATTAATCAGCGTCAGCGATATAAAGTGTACGAAGAGTAAAAAAGATAAAGCATATTCACGCATATTATAATGGATAATATGTGGATAAGTCTGGCCTGCGTTCTGAACTATTCAAGTCAAGTGTTTTCGTCCAATTATCGAATTTTCAAACGTTCAAGCCCCTACGCTGAACGATACTACGACTGGCAGTAATGCCTCTTTATTAATCCTATATATATATATATATATATATATAT